AACACTTGGCAAATGCCTACTTTAGCCTTCCAGCACACCAACCTGTGTGGTATGTTCCCTTTCACATTACCAGGGAGGGAACCATAGAAGTGAGGCAATTTCCCCAAGGCCACACAGCAACAAGCCTTTAGAAGAAAGAAATTCTAAAAGTATCTATTGTAGTTTGATTTCTGTTGCTGTGATAAAATATTCTGACAAAAAGCAATGTAGGCTTGTCTGAACTGTAAGAGAGTGGGCTACTCGTCTTACAACTCAGGTTACAGTTCATTATAGCAAACAAATGGCAGTGGGAGGGGCGGGGAGCAGCGAGTCACATTATATTCACAGCTGAGAACAGGGAGAAACTGGCTTGTGCTGCCTGACTGCCTTCCTCCAGTTATCTCTTCTCTTACAACAGTTCAGGCCCTGGCTAGGGAATGGTGCCACCCACAATGAGCTGGATATGTCATATCAATGAACAATCTAGATAATCCTCACAGACATGCCCACAGGCCAACCTGATCTAGGTAATTCTTCAACCGCAACTCTCTTCCCATGTCTACTTTATGTCAATATGACAGTTAAAACTACCCATCACAATGGCCTCCTCGGCTCTCTGGGGCATTGCCTGCCTCTGGACTCCAGGGGTTCATTACACTAGTTGCTTCCTAATGCTGTGTTCTTCTTAAACACTCCTCAAGACCTCAGCCCAGACCCCACCTCATCCAGGAAGCCTCCCTGCCTCCTGACTTAACACTAGAACACTGCTTCAGCCCCCTCTCACTTGGCCTTTCCCTGGGGAAGTCCTTTGTAACAAATCTTGCTTCTTGGTGATGAATGATCCTGTACTTGGACCTAGAACTTCTCAGGACAGTGTTTCCTGCCTGTGCTTGTGTATGTCTCACTGTGTGGGCCCAACACCTACACAAGACAACACTGAGGAACATGTGGGGGGAAAATGAGTGACACCCAGGATCAAAAGAAGGCCATCTGTGCCTCCCATCAAGAACGGGAAAGGTGGTGCCAGCCACCCACTTCTACCTGCAAGGGAATGAGCTCCATAGACTTGTGCTATCTCAGCCTCAGGTCTTGGGCTATGCCTGAGCCACATGTTGGTGGAAGGAATGTGTCCACAGAGATATGGGGACATGTGGCCAAGGGGAGTGGGCCACACCAGTGGAGCTTCCTGAGCAAGAAGCCCAGGGCAGGGAGTGAGAGAAAGGTGGTAGGCAGAGCCACAGCAAAGGTATTGACAGGAACCTGCCCATTGGGTGCCAGTGGCAGAAAGAGAGGTGAGAGGAGGCTGGGAGAGAGTCCAGTGCTGCTGTGAAGTAGCCAAAGCCTGCATTCCATTTACCTAGGTCTGTTCTCAGCAGCACCGCAGGTGTGACCAAGTGGGCATGCGTGCAGCTCATCTGTGCCCTGAGTTCTCTGAGCTCTAGGGGATGGCTAAGATAGATATGCACCCTAGAGTCACTAGCAGATGGTGGTAGGGGATGAGACTGGGAGAAGCCAGGGCTAGGAGCCAGTCCTGAGAAACAGGTGATGCCCACATCTGAGTGCCAGGTGGATGCTGTGCGCAACACTGGCACATGCTGGGTGCCACCACCCATTCTCTGCAGCAGGAAGCCACCTGTTAATCCTCCCACACAGTCATGGTAGATGTGTAAGGTTTCTAATGCCGGTGCTAATGCACGTTTGTCTTTTACAGAAGCGATGGATCCCCAATAGGTATTATAGGGCCCTTTCCCTGATGAGCTAATCAGGATGGAGGACTTATCAGTTTGCTGGATGTGACAGAGGTAAGAGTGCCTGGGCCTCCTGGGAGTGTCCAATGTTCCAGTGAAGCAAATGACCAGCTCCACTGTGTAATAAAGAGTGAGTCCCAGAGAGGCCAGGCAAATGACCAACATGATACAGATCAGATCTGGAGGTGTATTTTCTGTTCCTGAAAATATGCCCGACAGTCCCCCCAGGGGCTGCTGTTTTCCAACCTCAGGTCAGTTTTAAAGTTGGAAGATACTTTGTACAGATGCCACTTTGATGGTGGGTTCTATAGCCAAGGAGGTGCTAGGCTGAGCCCTAACTGGGATGCCACAGCTGGGATGGATGGAGCTTGGGGCTCCAGAAGACCCCTTTCATACATAGACCTAGAAACCATTCCTTTCTACATTCTGCCTAAACAACACACACAGAGAGACAGAGCTCAGGCTTTACAGTTCCTTCCAGTCTAGATCTAGCCTTTTGCTTAATTAGAGGGGAAAAAAAAAACAAGCCAAGAGCGTGGACTTCCATGAGCCCTATGTAGGTAAAGGGGACCAATGCCCAGAGGCCCTGCACTGTAAGGCAGAAGATACACACTACTAGAATATGCCCTATCCAAGGTTGATAATCTCATGCCTTTCCTCCCTGATGCAGGTGCTGAGTGAAATCATGGGATAATTTTAGACACAGCAAACAAATGCCGTAAGCTCCTTGCCTCTGCCTCGTGGTTTGCTTAAGTCATCGAATGCTGAGATGAACTCAAGGTACCCGCACCCCTCCACTCACCTGCCCAGGCTCATGTGAGGGCTGGCTGTGGCTCACTGGCTGCACACCTGACATGTCTATGGTCCCCGTGACTCTTGTAAATCCTTAAGAGCTCAGAATATAGAGCCTGAAGGCGCTCACACCACTCCCTCACAGAACATACTTATATTTAAGCACTGGGCATATGCTCCTTATTTTAAGTAGGGTCTGATTTTAAGCAAGCATTCTAACTTTACAGCATGGAAAGACTGACTTGGCATTTTTTTGGGTGTAGCAGCTGTTGGCAAAGATACGGATTTGTTCTGATTTTGGCATGGCTGCTCTAGACCACTGCCTGACACTGGAAACCAAAACCTGTGCACACTATCTTGCTGGGTGCTCTTCCCATATAAATCCAGGTTTCTGCAATTTGGGGACAGAATAGCCGATGCCTCTCTTGTTCCCGAATTTCTGCTGGAATCTGACACATGGCCACAGTTATCTGCTTTTGGTCTCACTCCAGCCCCTTGCCAGCATCACATGCAGGCCCTGGGCACAGCATGCTCATGTCTGGTCATCTAGTGAGGACCTTGAGTAGACATGAGAAAGACAAGGGGCAACTCCCTCTCTTGAGGCACAGGGAGGTGTCAACATTGTAAAAACCAGTTACAAAATCTGTTAATGTTAAGTTTTATTTTAAGTACACCTCTGATGTCCATTTTCCTGTAAATAAGCAAAGATTTGGGGACAGAGCAATTTGACTCCTTAGTTAGCAGCTGATGGACTACCCCTTGTTGCTCTGCCTGTCTTGAGCAAAGTAATTATCAGCCTAGCAGCCAGCTAGACTGCCCTTAAGTGGTATCAACCACACAGAACATTCCAGAGATGCTTTCGACTAGCAAGGACTGCAGGGACTGCCCACTACTAAAGTCACCACCTAAGTCGGGGCTGTTTGAAACATTTACTACCAGACTTTTTGTTGTGACAAGCCTGGATGAACTCTAGATGATCCTGTAACCACATCCACCTTGGCGAGGCAGAGAGCAGTCCCCCTGGTAGTCTAGAAAAGGTGTTGTTTGGACAGGTGCTAAGAGGCAAGGCTATGATTGGTCCAAACAAACTGCTGCCATCTGTTGGTTGTCAAACAAATGCTGTGATTGGCCTAAACACCCCTTCTTGAGCTGTGCAAGCAGGCCATTCCGGTTCACACAGGCAGTCAGCTGGGAGATCTACTCTGTGGCTACCTCCCCTGGTGTTGCAGCCGTGGTCCCAATGAAAGGCCTCTCTTTGGAGGGTCTTTTCTTTCATACTTTCAGAAGTGTGGGCCGAGCTAACATGGAGAAACTGCAGCAGAGGGCAGCACCAGTGACATGGCAGAGTAAGAGAGGCAGCAGGGACAGCTGGAGAGTAGGCCAGCCAAGCTGTGTAAGCTAAAAGGAAACTGATCGCTTCATGAACAAGTGCTGGGCACCCTGGCCTCCCAAGTAGCCATTGGTAGGTCATCCAGCCTAGCAGCCAAGCCATGAGAGAAGTCACAGTGGAAGAAGGGATAGAGATATTCACAGGTGACAGATATAGATGACAGATGGAAATATATATAAAGAAACAGTCTCAACAAACCCACAGATGGAAGCAGGGAGCCTCCCTGAGGGTTCCCTACTACCAAATAGAGGAACCTGGATTGGACTTAGTGTTACTTGGTATGTATTGAATATGGTGTGTTCCCCCATTTGCTGGGCTTCTGGGAAGTGATTCAGTACTGGGGACCTGACCTCACTGACATTACTTCCTTGAGGGATTCAGAATATCATGGCATTGTGGGGAGGCTGTTAAGGTGGGAGGTGCAGTCCAGCTGGACGAGGGCACTGGGAGAGGGTCTAGAGCTTTATCTTGCCCTAGCCTTCTCCTGTATTCCCTTTATCTGTGTCCTGGATGGCATGATATGAGCTTCTCTGCTCCGCCTCAGTTTCCCCACAATGATAAACTGACACCTCTGAAACCATGAACAACATAAATCCTTCTGTGAGGTATCGTGTCCCAGCCATGAGTAAGTAATTAATAAATACATACCACTGACACCCAATGCTGCACAGACTGATATATTTTTCATGTATGTATGTGGTATGAATGAGTGAAAGCATGTATGCTTATCTGTGTATGCTCATATATGCAGGTACAATTGCAAGTGTGTAGATGTGTACTGTGCTGGTTAGTTTTATGTCAATCTTACACAAACCTAAACATATCTGAGAAGGACCCTTAATTGACTGGGCTGTGGGCAAGCCTGTGGTACATTTTCTCGGTTGATGATTGATGTAGAAAGGCCAAAGGCCCTCACTGTCAGTAGGACCACCCCACGGCAGGTGGTCCTGGGTGCTATAAAGAAGCAGGCTGAGCAGGCCATGGGGAACAAGCCAGTAAGCAGCACTCCTCATGGCCTCTGTATCAGCTCCTGCTTCCAGGTTTCTTCCATGAGTTCCTGCCCTGACTTTTTTTAGTGAGGGATCATAACCTGAAAGTTGGAAGTTGAAATAAACTCTTTCTTCCCCAAGTTTCTTTGGTCTTGCTGTTTTTATCCCAGCCACAGAAACCTTACTCAGATATATGTGGAGGCCTGAAGTTAACAGGAGTGCCTTCCTCAGTAGCTCTTCACTCTATTGAGGCAGGGTCTCTTGCTGAACACAGAGCTCACCAATTCCAGCTTGTCCAGCTAGCCAGCCTGCTCTGAGGATCCTGTCTCTGCCTCCCCAGTGCAGAATTACAGGAAGCCACCACACTTGCCTGCTTTGACATGGATTCTAGGGCTCTGAATCCCAATCAATCTTCATGCTCGCATGTCAGGCGCTCTATCCACCGAGCCATCTCCCCTGCCCTAGACAGATGTTTTTGGTCTACACTGTTGGTCTGCACTGACTGGAAAGCCGAGATGATGTTGGGAGAAAGAGTAGGCAAGCCTCAAAAGCTATGCTGATTTTGATGGCTAGCCTTGGCTGCTAGCTGACAGCCATTGTTGGTTTACTGTGAGTCAATCTAATATATAAATCGTATATAGTCAATCAGTTCTGTTTCTTTAGAGAACCCTGACCAATACACTGTTCTCAACCAGGATATATTTATTATTTCAGGATATGGCCATCAAGCAAACGTTACTTTGGCCAACTGGCTTGCTTTCTATACAATGTTTAGACACCATTCCAGTTTGGATGAGGAGCAAAGAGGGAAAAGATTTGGGGCTTATTTTAAAGGACACAAATGCAACTGTGCTTTCCTGTTACTTTAGCACACAGTCATGTGGTAGGTAAGTTTTTATACCAATGACAGCATGAGGAAACAGTGGCCCAAGATTATAATGGAGGGGACCATTCCTCTCTCCTTGAGACATCACAGCCACTGTGTCATCACAGCCCAGTGCTTCACTCACAGGTCTGGGGTGGAGCTGGTGTGAGCACACCTACTGTACTGACAGCTGTGTAAAAGCAGAGTGACAATTCCAGGACAGAGTGACAGCAAACAGCTGTGTAAATGACATACCACACTTTCCATGGCTATTCTGTGTTTTCTGCTTACAAAGTTTACTGCAAAGCCATATGCTGAGCTACACAGCAGTAGCTGCAAGCATGCTGTGGTTTTTATGTTTCATTTATTTTTTTAGACATTATTATTATTGTGGGAGGGAATACACATGTGGAATAGCATCCATGTGGAGGACAACTTTGTGGAGTTGGTTCTTTCTTTCTACTTTTACATGGGTTCTGGGGATCCGACTCAGGATGTCAGACGTGAAATTTACCCTGGGAGCCATCTTATCTGCCCTTCTGTCTGGTGACAGACACATCACCCAGTTTTGTGTAAGTACACCCCATGATGTCTGTATAACAAGGGTATCACATGGCAATACTGTCCCCAGACCGTATTTCTATCATTAAGAGGCACATGATATAATCATACTGCAGATGATTTTTACATCAGATAAAAAAAAATTCTTGTGCCAACTCAACTCTTAGAACACTGGAAGTATTGCACACACTGAACCAAACCCTCTGAAGCTGACAAGAAGGTATTGCTTGTGGATGGATTCCTATCAAAAGGTAACTTCATGAGTGAGCTTCACAAGCAACAGTCTACAAAACAACCTGCTCTTTAAATTCTTCAGAACACTGAGCAATAGTCCAGAGACTTACAACACACAGCTGTGTTCTAGAAAATTCCCAAGTACCTTGGGACTCACCAGAGACGTGCGTGCCACAGCTTCCACCACCGCATCGAACACCTTCTGGGGCAGGCGCAGGAGCGTGGTGCCGCTGTCCACAATGGCCTTGTCTGCATTATACTAAAACAGGGAAAGGGGAAGGCACTGAGCATGGCTGCATATGTCATCCACGTACTGTGACCCCATTTCCATCACTTGTTTTTTTTTAAAGACTTATTTATTTATTATGTATACAGTGTTCTGTCTGAATGTATCCCTACAGGTCAGAAGAGGACACCAGATCTCATTACAGATGGTTGTGAGCCACCATGTGGTTGCTGGGAATTGAACTCATGACCTTTGGAAGAGCAAGCAGTGCTCTTAACCTCTGAGCCATCTCTCCAGCCCCCCATTTCCATCACTTGTGTCTGTCATTGACAACTTCATGCAGCCGCCGTAGCTCAGTGGTAACCATGAGCCATTTTAACTCCAGAGCTCAGGAGTCAGGGACCATCCATACCAGTGTTTTCACTCCATAGATGAGGAATCTGAGGTACTAGAAAGGGACAGGACCACAACCCAGAGTTCCTAAGCAGAGCTTTATGGCTTCTTGGAGCTGATCAAGTTGCCTATTCCTCATTCTGGGAAGAAGGTTAGGTCTCTGGACTTCAGCGATTAGAAGGACCCTTTTAAAAGCCACTTCGGCAAACTGTTCAAAATCCATTTTTCTATTATTTGACCAGTGGAAAAAGAGAAGGACAATCTTGATGGACACCCTATTTGCATTTGGGAAGGAAATTTAATAACAACACACACTTTGTATTCTATTTTATTGGATACAAACCTGGAGATGTCAGTGATAACTAAGGGCCTTTGACAGTGCAGAAATGTGGACTTGGGACCCACCTTGATAGCACTGGGGTAGACCAACATTGATTCGAGATATTCGTAATCATGAGAAATCAGGGCAGTGTGGAGACATGTGGGAATCAACAAGAGGGGAAGTGCTAGAGGGGTCTATACAGTCACTGACTGGTGAGCTTCAGAAGCCATTCTAAAACTGGCACACAGGACTGAGGCTTCCTCAGACTGTAATCATTTTAGTGCCATAACAAAGAAGCCAAGTGCAGTGTGAGACTGGGTATGTGGCTAATGGGAGACGCAGTCGTGCTTTCCTAGTGGCATTGTCGAGCTGCTGCACCTTTAGGAGCCTTAAGATGCATGTGTGTGTGTGGGGGGGGGGGGGGTGTTTAAGGAGGATAAAGCTGATGACAGTTTAATCTCCATCTCTCTCCTAATAAAGGTTCTTTTCACAGATTTGAGGGCCCATCTGGCCAAGATGACTGGAGAAGATGAAAATGAAGTTGGACACTATCCTCAATACTGAGCACATTATACTAATTTTTCCAGAGGCTGTAGTGTGTGTGTGTGTGTTTGTGTGTGTGTGTGTGTGTGTGTGTGTGTGCGTGCGCGCGCACGCGCACGCACATGCTTGTAATTTACTGATTTGAACTTATAGAGAAAGACTGTGATAAATACCACCACCAGGTGGTAGTGGTGCATACCTTTAATTCCAGCACTCAGGAGGCAGAGGCAGGTGGATCTCTGTGAGTTTGAGGCCAGCCTAGTCTACAGACTGAGTTCTAGGACAGCTAGGGCTGTTACACAGAGAAACCTTGTCTCAAAAAACCAAAAAAAAAAAAAAAAAAAAAAAAGGACGACGACTGTGTCTTCCTGTAAGGATCTTCTGAGCCACCCTGCAATATAACCTATCTTATGAGTTCATGCCCAGGTTCCAGTTAAATACTGTCTTCTCCATCACCTATAGGCAGAATCCAACAAGAATGGAAGACACTCACCTCTCTGCAGTCCAGGTTGAGGCTCTGGCCTCCAATTTCCAATTTCAGGATCTCTATCTGATAGTACCACTCCTCTTTAATTGGGGTATACCAGATGTCTCCTTTATACAAACTTGGTTCGATCCCACCTAGGACCTGGGAAGAAAAACAGTTACAAATGTAAGAGGTAAAAATTAAGTGGCTACATTAGTAGCTTCATAGAGAAGCATTTACTCAGGGTAAAACACAATTCAAAACAGTACCTTCACTTTATTCTGATGCTCTACAGCTAATAGTGATGATTGAAAATTCTCCATTTATAGAAGGCTTCAGGGGAGGGAGGTGTTGGTCATGTCCCACAATACTTTGCCCTAGTCTGACAAAGATGCTCCACTGGTATCCCAGGCATACAGCTCTACCTTCATGATGCTGAGAGTTCTCTCAAACAAATGCAGTAGAGTAGTTAACCATTCTGATTGGACTTGATTTACTGCCTCAGAAGCCAGAGATGAGGGAAACAGACCGACCAAAGATTTCTTAATCAAGACATTGTTTTGCAAAAACAATGTTACCTCACAGTCATAGGCCACCCAGTCCCTTCAGAAAGAGACAACAAAAGTGTTTGGGGCAGGCAGACTGCTAGCAGAAGGCAAAGACTGGTGCTGATCCTTCCTGCTGCAGTGAGGACAGGCACTGGACACACCTCCTAAAGAGGGGTCCTTCTTATCTTCTGTACTCTGACTTCCTCTGCAGGGAAGGTTGGCCTGCATCATCCCCAAGAGGTACACTGCCCTATTTCCATTTCATTCTAAACATTTTTGCTGGGTGGTATATCCCTGTGTCGGGGGAACAAAGAGAAGGGAGTGAAGGGGGAGGGAAGACAGGAGAGTGGCTCTGCTTCCCATCAAGTACGTGGAAATCATGGGTGTGCATGCCCTGCCTCGAGGAGGAGCACCTGCTGCACCCTCCACATTCCTTACATGCGTCTTCCATGGAAAGCCAACTGCTTTGTATATTTTCAAAGGACAATAAGACAACAGGGGTGGAATTTGGAGAAGCACTGAGAATCGTATTTTTAGATGGCTGGACTATTATCAATCTAAAGGTGGTATGACAAAGTTGTTAAATTATCATTAAATCCTGTTATGGTGCCTAATATTTAGTGATGGATAAACATTTCCTATAGGGTACCTGACCAGTACCTAAATTAGATTGTGTGTCTAATGGTTCTGATTTGTTTTTAGTAAAAGAAAACCCATCAATTTGTGATTTTTCATCCCTTTAAGACTGAAAGATACCCACAAGACTACCTCCGTTGGTACCAGATCCGGCTACTGGCAATCCAGCCCCACACATCTGCATGGAGAAAATGTCTGGAATCTTTGCTTGGGCCACCAGGGAATCAAAGAAGGTCTCCAGAGAGCTTGATGGCTGCAGAAAGGTGGGAAAGACAGTCACTGCTTTGTGACCACTGTGAAGACAAGGATGAGCTGGTGCAGTCAGCATCCCTCTCTTTGGTATTCTTGGTCTTTCTACTTAAGAGTCTTCATGGTTAATCAACACATGCTTGGAACTGGGTGTGATCACGCAGAAGTCCCCCACCTTGCTTCCTCCTGTCTGGCATTTGAGGTTCTACCACAAAAGTATGATATCTCCAAGAGCTATTAGGATGCTGCCAAGCTGTTTATCACCATTTCAGGATACGAGGTGTGTGAACTTGTGGTAGTGGGTTACTGATCTGGGCTTAGATACTTGGGGTAAGAAAACACAGTTACTCTAAGAGTCCTACCTACCTCCAGAGCCACCCAACATACAAATAACCACTGACCTACAAGGACCATGCATCCTTATCCTGGTCCCTGGTACTCCAGCCATCTTAGGCTTCAATGGTCAGGACACTCCCCATTGCAGGGTTGTAGGCTTCCTTTGTCTAGTGCCTCTCCTTCACAGAGCGACGTGTTTGAAGGACAACTCCATTTCACAAGAGTGTCCAAGGTGAAGGGGGCGCTCTGTAAACAGCTTTGGGCTAGAATAGACTAGCGCTGCAGGTGCCATGAAGGAAGTTAGTTTAGACTTTGGCTTTCACAGCTGGGAGACACCAGGGCTGGCCATCATGAGTTTCCAGAATTTTGTTTTTTGCTTTCACCTGAGACAGAGTTTTGCTATGTTGCCTAGGTTGCCCTTCAACTCAGCAGTCCTCTTGAACTGACCTTGAGAATAGCTGGGGTTACCAGCATGCAGCACCATACCCTGCTTGGGTGGCCAGTTTCTTCAGACAAATGCAATGCTCAGCTGTGGCAGCTGAAACCCTGCTCATGATCACACTGAAGGAATAGCTGCTTACTAGCCACGAGAATTCAAAGCCCCATTATTGTGGGAGTCCCTGAACCTAAGTCCCTGTTCAGGGCACCATCTGTGGGAGACCTGCTCCCACCTTTTAAAGGATTCCTATGGGGAAGAGAGAGAGGGATAAGAAAATATTAGATAGAAAGACAGTGAAGAGAAACACAGGATAGCTTTGGGAGGACCTGGATCAATACCCAATGGCCTCTTCTGCCTCTTCAAAGGGACTTTTTATAATAATACCAAGGGTCAGGGCAAAAGACCTCCCCCCTTGCCATCAAAGCATACTGCACAGCCAAGTGCAGACCCTTCCAAACACCTAGTAACCATGCCCGTGGTCCCGTCATCCCCTTATGTAGCCCTGCTGGGTAAAGCAAGCTTAGATTCTCGGACCCTGAGTAAGTTCTCACTAGGAAACCTCTGTGGGTCTCTACACATTATGAATGAGATAGGAGCCTCCTCACTTGATCAGTCCATCTCTCTCTGACTATTTGCTCCTTCTGTCTCTGCTCCTATAATCCTACCCTGCATTTAGCACCATCTCCCCATGTGATCTCTGCAGAAAGGCTATGGTATCTGAATGGACTGAAAGACAAAGTTCACCAAGGGGTGGGTGGGGCCTGGTGGGAACTCATCTTGGACCCCCTTCCTGAAAGGCAGCAAAGGATGAATGCTTGCTTCATGTCTGGCCAATCCTTGTGAAAGACCCCAGGCTGAGATCTTTCTCCGGGAGAGACCCCAAACCCAAGGAACACACCGAAACCACAGATCAGATGCAAAAGCAAGAGGGTTTATTTAGACCAGGTACCTGGGGCGAAGTCTCTTGGAGGACTTGCGCGCTTTCCTAGGGCAAGGGGGACTTTTTATGGGATCCCAGGGGCAGAGGC